TAGGGAGGGAGAGAGAAAGAGATGGAGTTAGGTAGATATATAGAGAGAGTATGAACAATGGATATGCATGGTAACTGTCAGTTTCACGCTTTAATGCGACTTTCCGCCTCGCTTGATATATATATATATATATATATATATATATATATATATAAGTGAGACAGAGAGATTATAGAGATAGATTAAAATCTATCCTTTGCTTTCTCGCCATGCAGGTGGTGAAAATAAAAAAAATAACATATGCACATTGATTACATTCGCCTGCACATTTCTGTGAATTAATATAAAGTAAATGTGTCAACATAATTACCAAAGCGAATGATGCCCAAAAGTACCTGGTTTTTTTTTTTTTTTTTTTTTTTTACACATGTCTATGCACACAGATTTACAGATATAAGCTTAGCATCTACCATGCATATATAAATTAATTAACTTTGTTTTTGTGCTTGCTTTATTTAACTTTTGGTACTTTTGTTTATATGGGTGGCAACGTGGATCTAAAATGAAGAGGAAAATTAGCCACCAGTGCCCTAATAAATGTCACATCAATTCTCGGCGATCTATAATTTCTGGAGAAAAATTTGTTTTAATTTCGGACGCTTATGGTTTGCCAAATATTTATGTGTGCCGTTGGACTGATAAGTTCTCATAGAATTTCACACTCACACAACACACCATATATATATATATATATATATATATATATATATACCCCTGACACACACACTTTAATAGTTGTGAGTGTTTGAATTTGCTCGTGTGTGTGAATGACCACATGGAGTGATGCAAAATTTCACTCACACGTGAACTGAACATACAACTATACACATTTTGATATAGAAAGTTACACCAACAAAAATATCAACGTTCTTTGCAGACGTTTTCCCACTGTGCCTTCGTTCACTACAAAAAAAACAAAAAACAAATTGATTGTAATTTATTTTTAAGAAAACTCACGACATACATAGAAAATATGGAAACATAAATAGAATATTTACTTCACTTGAAACAATACAATGGGCTCGCGTGAGAGATAGAGAGTGGGAAGAGAAGGAGAAAGAGGGAAGAAAAATACGGAGAGAGAGAAAGAGGAAGGGAGAGAAGTGGGGGCAATAGAGAAAGAGAAAAGGGGAAGAAAAGGGAGAAAGAGATAGGGAATAGCGAGAGGGACAGAAGGAAAGAAACCAGTTTTGAGGTCAAAATAGTTGCGTAATTCCCCTTGGAGCCTCTAATCGGCGTTCGAGTTGAGAACTATACCAGGAATTTAAATGCTAATATTCGTGTTCTCTATAAAATTAATTCTTTTCAATATCGCCGTGTTCCATGCTTTTGAAAGCCGAGTTTCCTTTTCTCTCTTTTCTCTCTCTAATTCCCCATATATATATATATATATATATATATATATATATATATATACACACAAACAAACAAACACATTTAGGAAACTCCAAGAATAAAAGTATTCTGAAAAGAATAACATAGCAACCAAACTTGATAAAGTTTTATTGTCAAAATGTTTATTTTATTATTAAGAAAAAAAAAACAAATTACTTTTTTTTATTATTTTATTAATCTTTTAATCCATTCCGGTACGATTGAAATTTTTTTAAATATCTTGATTTTTTTTTTTTTTTTGTTTTTTGGGTTTTTTTTTTTACGTCAGCGATCTACGTAATATTTACGATAAGTGTTTTAGCGCCTTTTTTCAATGAAATTATTGAAATTGGAAATTATTGCAAATTCAAATAATTGTCGGATTTTAATGAACCCTTCAGAACTTATTCACAAATGAATGAAATTATTTTTGAACTTTTGTTTTTAGAAAATCGTGATAAAATATTTTTTACTTATGTTACCCATCATTAATTTGGAGGAATTTAATTTCTCCTAGAATTTTTATTTTATTTTTTGAAAGCAGCACTCTTTGGAGAATGTAAATTTCATTTTTTTTTTTTTTCAAACTACTGCACATATCCAAAAAATTTGTTGAAAATCGTAAAATAAAAATGCAATAAAATTATGAGATTATTTAATTAAAAAAGCTTTTAATTTTTTTTTATACATAAGATTAATTAAGGTTGTTATCGTCATAAGAAAATTTCGATGGATAATGAATTTTACAAGAATTGCTTTCATTTTTTTTTAATTTTAATAATTTACAATATATAAATAGTTTAAAATTCTACATTACTTTAATCTGGTGATGAGATACTGTTATTAAACGAACACAACATTTATGAATCAAAAATTAACAAAACTTAATAACGGTCGTTTCGTATAAAATTTTTTAAAATAACTTAATTTTTTTATGTGCATAAAATATGTAACGTGCCCCTGTTTCAAAGAATATTTGACCATACACGACATTATCAGAAGATAAGAGTGATAACTATAGTAAATTTAAAGTCGACATTTCTAAAATTAGAACACGGAGAATATTTTTCAGTATTTTTAAGGTGACGGAGTACTTAAAAATTATATAAAAAAAGTACTCAACCATCATATTCTTAATTTATGTTTTAAGTTGCCGAAGACAATAAACATATCAATACCTTATCAGTGCCTGTTTAAGAGTGATAAGCTACGGTGACATGAGCGTAATCACCGCTAGAGTCTGTTTTAAAAATTCATTTCATTGTTATTTTAAAAGTAAAGTAATTTTATTTTTTTCAAATCAGATTATGTATACTTTCAATGAGCTAATATTACTCAAATAAAGTTACAACAGTATATTTTATTTTTGGAAGACTTTTAAAGCCGAGAATTTACCTTTGTTTACAAATGTGTCAAAAATGGTTGAAAGCTACAAGATAGAAATTATGACTGGAATCTCGATTATTTGAAATACAGCAGAGTATTTTGCCTGTTGGAAATAGTAAATTTAATCATTTAGCGTTTAATTAAAGCTAAAAAGAAAGTCTCAAGAGTGAGTTTTTTTCAAATTTAAAACTACACACACACACACATATATATATATATATATATATATATAATAGGTGGAACCTTTGGAAAGTGCCTGAAAATCACACTAGGATTGACCCAATCATTGTGAGTGAAATTAGGTAAAGTGTATCATTTGGGCTCGTCGATAATTGTGTTAGCATAAGTCACAATACATATATATATATATATATATATATATATATATATAGTTGGATAGATGTGAGACCCTGGGTTTCACGCTTTAGAGATACGATCGCTAAAGCGTGAAACCCAGGGTCACAAACTCACATCTATCCAACCAAATATGTTAGCTCTATCTCTGATATTGAGCGCTTTCTAATAAGTACCGCGCATATAATATATAATTAATTATACATACTTATATTTATTTATATTTATATACGCTTTTCACACACACACACACATATATATATATATATATATATACACACAACCTTTCATATATATACACACATACATACATCATCTTTCATATATATATATATATATATATATATATATATATATATATTTCTTGTGATCATTAGATTGTTTTCTTAATTGGACATAAATTGTGTAAAATAAATGTCCATATGTCCGATATACCCGAGTGCTTCTCCTTATTCCATTATTAGCCATTATCAGGGACCTGTATTTTAATTATACGAACACTAGAAAAAATGAATAAAACAGCGTAATCGCATTACAATTACACTCATCTTATATATATATATATATATATATATATATATATGGGGGAATGCTGGCGTCAGAATGAATGCAAACGGTAAACTTATCTTGTCAATTTTTGCTTTAAGAGCGACACGTGAATAAATTCCTGAAGTAATGTTTAATTTACTTTTGGCAGACACACTGACAGCTCGTTTTTTTTTTGTTGTTTTTTTTTCTTTCTGTGTTTGTAATTCTGTTATCGTTTATATTTTAACAAGTTTTATTTGTACTTAATTTTGGTCGTACGAATGGCCTAAAAACAAAAACAAAAAGCAAGCAAGCACGCTCATACA